CAACCCATAGGTGGCCCTCTGGCAGGTTTTCTGAGGTAGCAAATTGCATGAGTAGTTTACCCATCTTTTTCCCATAGGACAGCTAGTAGATCTGAACTGCATGCCTTTGGGATGGCAGCACAGCTCCTTACCACAAGGATACCAGAGCTCCCTTACTGTTGTTGTTATGTCACATCAAGTCTAGTACGACTCAGAGCCACCCAGTGAACAATAACTCTGAACTTTGCCCTGTGCTGGGCCAATCTCACTCACTGTCTCTGACACACCTACCCCCACTACCCCAGTTACTGTGTCATTCCATCTCATCTGGAGTCTTCCTCTCTTGCACCATCTGTTTACCCTTCCAAGTATAATGTCCTTCTCCAAGGACTAGCCTCTCCTGGCAACATGCCCAAAGTACGTGAGACAGAATTTCAAAATCCTCGCCTCCAAGGAGCAGCCTGGCTTTAATTGCTTCTGAGTCATTGCAGCCTCATATATGTCAGAGCAGATCTGTGCTCCTCCTTGTTTTCCACCCCTGTGACCTTCTGGAAGTAGACCTTTCTCCCAAGGGGTCTATTGGTGGGTTCAAACCCTCAACCTCTCAATAAGTAGTCGAGCACTTAACTATATGCTTCACCCAGGCATTCTGATAATGCTAATTGTTGTGAGGTGCCACTCTGATTCATACCAACCCTCCTTTGCCCAATTTGCACCATTCTCACAAACTCCACCGCACCCAAGTGCCCCCTGGTGCGCACTGTACCAATCCATCTCATTGAGGGTCTTCCTCTTCTTTCTGACCCTCTTGCTTTTCTATACATGATGTCCTTCTCCAGTGACTGACCTCGCCTGTAACATGTCCAAAGCATATGAGGTGAAGTCTCACCATCCTCGTCTCTAAGGAACATTTTTTTTGGCTGCATCTATTCCAAAACAGATTCATTTGGTTTTTTGGTAGTCCATGGTATATTCAACATTCTTTCCCAACACGCCACTTGAAAAGCACCAACTCTTCTTAGTTCTTCCTTATTCACTGTCCAACTTTCACAAGCACATGAAATAACTGAAGATACCATGGCTCAATGTCAACGGGTAATGTTAAAAACTCTACAGAACAGAATGTATCAACTTAGTGCTATTTGTTTAGTCTACCCTTTTTACCCTATTTCTATCACTTGAATCTCCATAGTACAATACCTCCAGAACTCCTACTACATAATTCTGGAGAATCTGAGAATTGTTTTAGTCTTTACCCATCTTAGTTTACTGATTACTGAAATGGGCATGCTATCAAATATGTATGTTTTAAATGTAACACTGTTGTTATTGTTATGTGCTGTTGAGTCAACTGTGAATCATAGTGACCCTATAAACAAGGGATCTGAAGCCTGCCCTGTCCATGCCCTCCTCACTATCTCAGGCACACATGAGCCAATTGCTACAGTCATTGTATCAATTCAGTTTGAGGGTCTTCCTCTCCTACACTGACTCTCCACCTTCTCAGGCATGATGTCCTTCTCCATAGACTGGCCTCTTCTAAGAGTATGCCCAAAGTACATGTGAGAGTTTCACCATCCTTCCTTCCAATGAGCACGCTGGTTCCACTTTCTCCAGGACAGACCTGTTTGATGTGTTGGCAGCCCATGGGATATTCAGTTCTGTGGTCCTTAGTCACTGTCTAACTTTCAGATTCATTGCAAGCAATTGAGAAAACTACAACTTTGATATTGAGAAAACTAGGAAGCTGGTGCCAATAAGCTGCACTGTAATACCAAAGGCACATGGTTCGAGGCCACCAGCTGCTCTGCAGGAGAAGGAGAGGAAATCTCCTCTGGTGCAATTAACTGCCTCTGAAAACCCGCTGGAAGGTCAGCTATGGGAAGGTTTCAACTCTACAGTACACGACAACAATGGCTTTGATAACGCATACCTTTGTCTCCAGACTGACATCATTGCTCTTTAGCACTTTGGAGAGGTCCCTGACAGCAGATTTCCCAATGCAATTCATCTGTCTACTTCTTGAATGTTGGTACCAAAGATGTTGGTTGTGGATCCAAGTAAGGTGAAATCACTGACAGCTCAATCTCTATGATGACACTACCTATTGGCTTTTCTTGACACTACCCAAGACTTTTTCTTTCTTGATGTTGACATGTAACCTATATTGAAGAATACTGAAGGATATTGTCCTTGATCTTCTGCAGCAAGCACTCCTCACTCTCATCAAGGAAGGTCTATGCCTCTGGCAATCCCCGATACATTCCACAATCTTCATCAATATTATAATTCAAAATTATGGTCTTTTTCCATCTTCCTTTTTTCCACTGTCCTATTTTCACATACAATTGAAAATATCAAGGCACACCTTAGTCCTCAAAGAGACTACTTGGCTTTTGAACACTTTCACAGCAAATCTGCCCAATGCAATTTGTTCTTTGATTTCTTGACCGTTCTTCCATGCCTGTTGTGCAGCCAGCGATACAGAAGCAGAAGCTAATTACGTGGGGCTTTCAGAATAGTTCTTCAAAGAACTGACTCAGCTGAGAGGCCTGTTTCTGCATTTTTTTCTTTCCTCATCATCTTGCCTAGAATTAAGACATGATCTGTGGGGTACCAGCTGCCATTCTGAGGTCTCGAGGATGGACACCACACACTAAGGTGGAAGATGCAGAAAGTTAGAAGCAGCCTGCATCCTAATGATACATGAGACCACACTTCCCGCCCTGGCCTGCCCATTCATGAAACTGGCCTTGTTTCATGTGGTTGACCACAGCCCTACTTTTGTTTCAATTACCATGGCTGAGATTCTTGGCTATTCATACAGATCCAATTCCTAATGGACAGAGATCCTTAAAATGTGTTACATAAAAGTTGGTTAATCTTGATAATAGATAGCTGTTAGTGTAGTTAGATGCTGTAGAGTTGGTTACCACTCCTAGCACCCTGTCCTATCCTGTGCCATCTTCACTATCTCTGCCATGCTCAAGTTCATTGTCACAGTCATTGTGTCAACCCATCTCATCAAGAAATGTCTTTTTCTAAGGACTGGCTATTTCTACAATACATCTGCAGAAGCCCTAATGACCATATATGCTTAATCCCAAGAATGCTACGATGAGTTAATACTAGGAAAAGAATGCATAGGACATATATCATATAGGCTCTCACCCAATTAAGGAAATAAATATGAGAAAAATAATTTCTAAAAATACAGGCTACACCAGTGTTCACAGCAGTGTTATGCACCATCGCAAAAAGAAACAGGCCAGATGTCCAACCACAATCAAATGGATTGAGAAATTATGGTATTTCACACAATGGAATATGATGCAGCATGCAGGAGCAATGATTTTGTAAATTATTACCTAACTTGGAAGAGATTGGAGAGCATTATGCTGAGTGAACTAACTCAATCCCATAAGGACAAATACTGTATAAAACCATAATTGAAGAATGAATATGAGGATCAGGAGCAGGGGGGTGGAAGTAGAGGGGTGAGTATGGATGGTGGGTACAGGTTAATTATAAGGTCACACAGTTTGATGGGTGGGGGTGGTGAAGGAAATGGGAACAAACTGGTATGAAAATATATTCAAATTTTGTAAATTTATTTTATAAAATAAAATAAAAAATAGGTTAAGTGCTTTTGATAATATTCAACATCCATTTCTCAATTTTAAACCATGTTTCCTAAAATAGGCACAAAAAGCTATTTTGAGGTGAATTTCAAGTCAGAAAGCAAAGTACCACCATTGTTTCGTAATTCTTTCTCAGGTCTTGCCAAACCATTAAGGGGGAAAAAAAGAAAGAATTGAGGCATTCAAATACAAAAATGGAAGAAAAATAATTACTGCTATGTAAAAATTATATAAAAACTAAGAGAGAGGATTTACCATGTAAATGTTTGAAAAATGAATTTAAAAAAAAAAAAAACCCTCACAACCTTTCTGGATAACAACTGCTGTTATAAAATGTGATGGGATAACAACCGAAAAATACTTAAGTTTCATAAAAATAAGCTAGTGATAAGAACGGTTGTTAGCTGCCACTGCGTCAGCACTGCCTCACAGCAAGCTTGTGTGTCACACAGCTTGCCCAGTGATGGGACCATCACCATGATCAGGGGTGTGTTTTGAGTCCATCAGGAATGGTGATAGCGGTTGGTTGTTATTAGATGTCATCGAGTTGATTCTGACTCGTGTGTTGAGAGCAGAATTGTTTCCCTCCAGGTTTTCGAAACTTATGAAGCTTGTATGTTCTCTGGCATGTGTGGACTCAACCCACAGGTGGGGCAGGAAACGGGCTCCATGGCTGCAGGTTGGTGGTAAAATCTGGGTGGAAGGTGAGCTGGAAGCATTCATTGGCTTTCAGGGGTTTGTTGTTTTGTTTTGATTTTGGGGGGGGGGTTACCTCAACTTAAAGTAAGACAGGTATTTTACATGGCAATTAATTCCACACAATATAAGTAGTATTGTTGTTGAGTACTGTAGAGTCAGAACAAACCCATGGATGACCCTCCGGCAGGTTTTCTGAGGCAGTTAATCACATGGGAGGAGATTATTCATCCTTCTCCAACAATGTATAAATTTATATACATGAAATACACTAATATAGCTAAAATGAAAGTTTTATGAAATAATGCATATGCTAAATGTTACACATTTTGACATGACCTATGCTGTTACATCAACATGTTCTAGAACATTCCACTTCATTTCAAAAACATGCTGCCCAGACCTCACTAAAAGCAAGCAAGCAGTCTTTTAGGCCTAGGTTTATGATTACTTGGCTCTGCTCACCCCCAGAGGCAATCCTTAACATCACCAGAACATCCTATCTTTTCACTCTAATTCAATTCTAAGAGGAGCAAAGCATGAAGAACTCTAAGATGTGGTTCAGCATTGAGAAAACACGTATTTATAGAATCAATGCTCTGGATGTCACTCCAGGGAGCTCTTCTTGCTCACCACCCCGGGTGACCCCTTGGCATCAGGAGGGTGAACTGGGGGCAGCATTACCGTAGGAAGAACTGTTGAAGAGCTCTATGTTGAAGAAGGCATAGTCTCCGCTGGTCATGCCGTGCCGGTGCGCCGCCAGCATGATGCTCCGGATGGTGTCGCCGCTCGCACACATGATGACGACTGTGGAGGGAGAAGAGACAACACGCATGAAGCCATGGCACAGAGCACAGAGGGCACCCGAAAGCCAAGGGGGGGTCCCACAAGGAACATCCCAGAGCATCTTCTCACAGACTATATATTAACTGCATTATCATTAAACGCTATCCATCCTGTTAATTTCAATAATGGTTTACCCACGGTGCACAGCGTTTGGTGGAGCTCCCAGATTAAAACAGACTTGGGGCCTAGTGGTAAGGAGCTGCAACTACAATCCCAGAGGTGCACGGTTCGAATCCACCAGATGCTCTGCCGGGGAAGAAGGGACAATCTCCTCCTGTACTAGTCAGATCTGATTTGACGGTACACTCACACAAAAATAATAAAAAATTTTAAAAAAATTTAAAAAAAAAAAAACAGGCTTGGAAGCAGGAGTGGCATCCACTTCCGAAATAGCTTGCCTCCGGAAACTTTATGAACATAGAGAAATGATAAAAGTTATACAAGGGTTCAGATCTTTCGGTCATAGAGTAGCTATGAGTCGTCTATGACTCGATAGCACTTAACAACAAAAACACAACAGAGCTGAACTCAGAGTTCAACTCTTCAAGTCCTCTGGAGTCCAGAGGACTCACAAAGAACTGTTTCTCAGGCTTTTCTGGGCTGAAGGGTTTTACGGAAGCAAATCACCAGGTCTTTATTCTATAGCACCACTGAGTTGGTTCAGACATCTGACATTTCTTATCTGTCAAGCACTTTACCCATTACATCAGAACTCCTTGTTAATTACAAAGGGGAAGAGTCATAATGTTTACAAAGGAGAGAAACCTAACTGGCTCCACCACAACGTCATCATGGAGATTAACACTGCCAATGGGGGGGGGGGGACTGGAGAGCATTATGCTGAGTAAACTAACCATTATTGTAGAATAAGTATTAGAATCCATGGGGGGGGGGGAATGGAATCAACAGCCTCCTAACCCAAGAACCAAAAATGCCAACACCATGTTGTTGTGAGATTCCGTGGGGAAGCTCCAACTCAGAGGGTCCCCATCTGCAACAGAATGGAATCCCCCTTGATCCTCCACCATCTGGACGACCTCTGCCTGCTTAAACCCACTGTTGTGGCCACTGCGGCAATCTACCCCACACACGGCTCATCTGAATATTAGGAATAATAGGAAGCAGCAAGTGACTCACATCAGCAGACAGTCAGTACAATAACAGGCTTATGCTATTTCAAAATGTCACTTTCATAAAAAAACAAGACAGACTGAGGAAACATTTCAAAGGGAAGGAGACCAAAGGGACAGAAAACGAAATATGTGATCCTAGACTGGACCCAAGACTTTTTAAGAAAAAGTTGTTAAAATAAAGGCATTTTTACAATAACTAGTGACATTGGAATAGTCTGTAAATTAGATAATAATACTGTGTTTGTTTTAAGTGTTTAGTTTTTCATTAAGTATACCCAATCACGTAAATTAATCTTGTTCTGACCAGGTGCCCCTGAGTCAACTACAACTCATAGCAACCCTCTGAACAACAGATCTGGACCTTGCTCTGTCCTGTACCATCTTCTGGATGTCTGACATGCTCAAGCCCATTGTTACAGTCACTGTGTCATGTTGTTTTTGTTCTGTGCCATCGAGTCACCTGCGACTCATAGCAACCCTTTGTACAACAGCCTTAAACCCTGCTCTAGCCTGTGCCAATCTTATTGCCTCTGACACACCTACCCCCATTACCCAGTCACTGAATCAGTCCTCATTGAGGGTCTCCCTCTCCTGCATTGTCCCTCCACCCTCCCAAGCATAACATCCCTCTCCAAGCACTGGTCCCTCCTTGCAACATGTGCAAAGTATGTCAGACAAAGCTTCAGAATCCTTGCCTCCAAGGAGCAGCCTGACTTCACCCTCTCCAGAACGAACTTGTTTGTTCTTCTAGCGGTCCATGCTATATTCAATACCCTTCTGCAACACCACAGCTCAAAGGCATCAACTCTCCTTCTATCATCCCTAGTATTGTGCAGCTCTCTGACACATAGCAAGTGATTGCAAAGATCATGGCCTGTATCAGGCACATCGTAGTCTCCAGATTGACATCATTGCTCTTCATTGTGTCATACATTTCACTAACAGTCTTCCTCTCTTTCATTGACCCTCCACCTTTCCCAGCATGGTGTCTTTTCCCAAGGACTGGTCCATCCTGACAACATGTCCAAAGTATGTGAGAAATCGCTTCACCATTCTAGCCTCTAAGGAACTTCCTGGATGCACTTCCTCTGAGATGAACTTGTTCTTAGAAACACGTATTTAAGTATTTGGGAGGATAAGGAACAATGATGCTGACAAATTCTTTTCAGATGGTTTATAAAAAGATACTAATATCTCTGTGTGACCATAGACACAATTCACCAATGCATGCGCTTGTGTCTCTAAAGAGGAGAAAAGAAAGGAGAAAGGGAAAAGGTAATAGAAAAAAAGGGAGGAGAGAGGAAAAGAGAAGAAATTTAAAATCATAATACAGCAATATGTGAACAAAGAGAGAAAAGCAGACTGAATTTATGCCAAGTTTTAAAATTTCTATACTAATTATAGAGAGCTCTGGTGGCTTAATGGTTAGAAGCTGCACTACAATCCCAAAGGCACACGGTTGGAATCCACCAGCTGCTCCTAGGCAAAAAGATGGGTAATCTCCCATGGGATTAACTGCCTCTGAACATCCACCGGAGGGTCAAGTATGGGTCAGTTCCAACTCGACAGTATATAACAACAACATACTAATTATTCAGGAAGTCCTGGGAAATGAATGGTTCTGGTACTTTTTTACACCTTTTCCAAAAGCTTAAAATTATTTCAAAATCAATTTTGTTTAAAACATCCTTTTAGCACAATCTGTAATCAATGTCACTGAATTGCACATGTGGAAAATGTCAAAATTTCTTCAAAACTGGTGCTGCCGAGTCAAGTCCGACACCAAGGGACCTACGGACAGGAAGGGATGGCCTCACAGGATTTCCCAGGCTGAGCTCTCTAAGCAGCTGACCGTCACATCCTTCTCCTTCAAATCAACCAGTGTGACTGACATCCCTATTTCCACCAAAAATATTTTTTAAAGATGATAAATAAGTATATAAGTAAATGAGCATATTTGCCCAATGTATAACAGTGAGGAGAATCACCTTTTTCTGTTTCATAGTATGGTGGACATTATGCTTGGGAGAGTGGAGGGCCAGTGCAATCAAGAGGAAGGCCCTCGATGAGATGGATTGACTCGGTGACTGGAGTAACGGGGGTGGGAGTTTCAGAAACAATAAAGTTGGCTCAGGATAGAGAGGTCAGGATCAGAGCTGTTGTACACAGGGTCACTATGAGTCGCAGGCAACATGATGGCGCATAACAACAACAACAACAAACTCATTGTCTTGTAAAAGAAAATGGGAGAAAATTAATTTGGCCAGAGGATACAACGAGTGCTACACCATTTCTGTCATCTATTAAGTCATTCTTTTGAAGCTGTCACCACTTATAAAGGAAATAATAAACAAAACACATAGAAGGCTCTACATCCTGTCACACGGATCAATCTGCAAGGCCCAGAACAGCGCCAGGACCCTGCTGCCTCCCCATTTGCTGCACAGCCTAGAGGAAGGGCGCTTCTGGACCATTTTATGACCATCTCAAACACTATTGTGCAACACACTCAAAAATGCATGTGTCTGCCCTGCCAGGCATGACAGTGTCACTTTCTGTGGGAGCAGAAGACGGACCTTGAGAGACCTGGGTATTGTGACCCCATTCCAGCACCTGAGATGTGTATGTTCTTTGCAAAAGCGGGGGGGCTGAAGGATAAAAAACAAGTTCTTTTACATCTGGGAAATAAAGGGTATCATCCAGGAAGAGTGCAAACAGTCATTGCAAAGACAGAAGAGGAAGAAAAGACGAAAATGGATGTCAGAAGAGACTCTGAAAATTGCACTGGAGCGCAGAGAAGCCAAAGCCCAGGGAAGAATTCGAGATACTAAAGAGTTGAATAGAAGATTTCAAAAGGCAGCACGGGATGACAAAGCAAAATATTACAATGAAATGTGCAAAGAGTTGGAGTCAGAAAATCAAAAGGGCCGAACTCGCTCAGCATATCTTAAGCTCAAGGAACTGAAGAACAAATTCAAACCTCGAGTTGCTATAATCAAGGATGCTTTCGGCAGAATGTTAAATGATCCCGGAAGTATTAAAAGAAGATGGAAGCAATATACTGAGTCACTGTATCCAAAGGAATTGGAAGACACAGATTAATTTCATGAATCAACATATGAGCAAGAGCCTATGGTGATGAAAGAAGACGTTCAGGCTGCTTTGAAGGAAATGGTAAAAAATAAGGCTCCGAGAATAGATGGTATACCAATTGACATATTTCAGTTAACAGATGCTGCCCTGGACGAGCTCACCAAGTTGTGCCAAGAAATCTGGAGAACGACCACTTGGCCAACTGACTGGAAGAGATCGATATTTGTTCCTATCCCAAAGAAAGGTGACCCAACAGAATGTGGAAACTACAGAACAATCTCACTGATTTCACATGCAAGCAAGATTTTACTGAAGATTATCCAAAAACGACTGGAACAGCACATCAACAGAGAACTACCAGAAGTCCAGGCTGGGTTTAGAAGGGGTCGTGGTACTAGAGACATTGTAGCTGATGTTAGATGGATCTTGGCTGAAAGCAGGGAATACCAGAGGAATGTCTATCTGTGTTTCATTGACTATGCAAAGGCATTTGACTGTGTAGATCATAACAAACTATGGCTGACTCTGAGAAGAATGGGAATCCCAGAACACTTGATCGTTCTAATGCGAAACTTATACTTGGACCAGGAGGCAGTCGTCAGAACAGAGCAAGGGAACACTGCATGGTTCAAAATTGGGAAGGGCATACACCAGGGATGCATTCTATCTCCATACCTTTTCAACCTATAAGCAGAACAGATTATCTGGGAGGCAGGGCTCTATGAGGAGAAATGT